GATGAGAAAAGAAACCAACCAAGAAATGCTGCTTTCCAACAACTATTCAGAATAACTGAGCTTTGATCCCTTTTGATAAGTCTTCTTTCTAGCACTGCATTAATAAAATTAATCTAGGGCTAGAAAGGAAGAGCTTTTTTTTTTTCATTTAGATTTGTGCATCTTCAAATCCATAATAAGGAAAAAATGAAGTTTCACCTGGCTGGTGTAGCTCAGTGGCTGAGCAGTATCCCATGAACCAGGAGGTCATGGTTGGATTCCTGGCTAGGGCACATGCCTGGATTGTGGGCTCAATCCCCAGTAGGAGTCATGCAGGAGTCAGCCTATTGATGATTTTGACGTTTCTATGTCTCTCTCTCCCTTCCTCTCTGAAATGAATAATTTCTTTTAAAAGTTCCTTTTTTCTTTTCTAACATATCCTCATTCTCCTCTCTAGCTCTGTTCCTGAGGCTCAAGTGAAAATGCCACAGACAAGCAAAATAGAACACTGTACACATAAGTTGCATAGTTCATTAAGATGATGTGAACAACAGACAAAAAGACAAATTGTTTCACAATTATAAGTGATATCTTGCAAAAGGTCTACTTCCCTACTAAACATTTCTCCCATTTTTGTTGTTAACCCTATAGCTCTTGGATAACATACACATAACATCCTGTTTTAAAATCAAGCCAGGCAGGGTTTGAGGACTTGAAAGCATATTTGCAAACTTTATTTCCAAACAATGACTCTAATGTGAAAGAGAAACTAGAACTACCCTTTGGTTCTGGTGTTTTCAAGCTCTGAACTGGGATTCTTAGTTCAGGTCTAGAACTTGAAGGCTGTCCCCAACCAACAGACAGACAGTGATAAGATTTTCCACAGGACACCGCTCTCTGCACCACTAGGAAATCTGTATTACTATAATCTCTCATTACTCCTTAAGGGCTATAGAGTCTATTGTCAGAGGACTTTATCATTGGCTATGATTAGGAATAAGATTTAGTCATTTGGAATTTGAACTAAATTTACATTGTTGAGGGGAAGAGTCGTGTCTAAGCTTGTATTACTTTTACTAAGAAAAAGTGAATACCAATCATTTCATGGAAATTAAAGCTATTTCCAATGCTCAATTATACTGAAATTAAAAGTCAATTCTTAACACAAATTCCAACTTCAGCAGAAAATCAGTGCTACTCAAAGGAGTTGGGAGTAGGGGGGAAAGGCTATAAAGTATAAGGAAAGGAAAAACAATAGGCAAATGGAAATGCTGGTGATGTGAATTCCATAAGCTCTGCTATGAAACCTGTACCTTATCAATAACTTTATGAATAAACTTACTAGTGACAGGAAAAGAAGCCAACACTGGTACCTCCATTAAAGCTGCCATAACGATATATTACTATCCCCCATATGAAAACGACAAGCATTTTTATAGCCATATCTGACCATTGATTCTTTAATAATGTACAAGTTTTAATTTCACTATTCAATTGTCATAAACAAGGATAATGATGTCTCAGAATGATTAGGACTTTTTTTCTCAAGCGGCACACCTGTAAGCAATGCTATAGAAACCTAGAAAGTCTAGGGCTAAAGAGCCAAGAATAAAGTCAGGAAAATAATCACAACAGAACTCACAGTATTTAGTGGGTAGAAGGAAATCAAGGTTAAAATTATGTATAAATAAAATCCCTAAGATAGTACTTTTTGAGAAAAATGAAAAGCATTTGATGAAGAAACCCATAAATTGCAATGAGTCCTTCCCGCCAAAACAAATAATGACAACATCATTCAGCTGATCTAGTAGGCTAATTGCTTCAACAAACTTGGAAACTTCTACCTTCAAATGACATATCTGCACACTAAGTTTAAGATAGCCAAGTCATTTCAGCATGAATACAAATCACAGGGAGATACAAATCAGCATGAATACAAATCACAGGGAGTAAAAAAAAAAAAAAAAAAAAAAAAAAATTACAAAAGAACGATGCTATTAAACTAATTAGGACTGTAAGAATTTTTGAGCCCTGGCTGGTTTGGCTCAGTGGATAGAGTGTCAGCCGGCGAACGGAATTGTCTCGGGTTCGATTCCAGTCAGGGGCATGTTCCAGTTTGGTTGCAGCCAGGGCTCATGCAGGAGGCAACCAGTCAATGTGTTTCTCTCACATCAATATTTCTCTCTCTTCCACTCTAAAAATCAATGGAAAAATATCCTCGGGTGAGGATTAAAAAAAAAAGAATCTTTGAGTGAAAGAGCCCCCAAAATCTAATCCTCAAGCATCATTTTCCATTCCTCACTAAATGATTAAGTGCCTCAAACTAGCTTTTGTTTGCAGTTAGATTTTAAAACTTTTATTACATAAAACTGATCATGTTTCTGTAAATAGCATTTATAAGGCAGATGTGAAAAGACCCACTGGAGGATAGGCTGGCAACCACTTATATTCAACATACATATTTCACCCAAGAATAGTTTTATAATCTTTTAAAATATATATATTTTATTGATTTTTTATAGCTGCTTCCTGCACACCTCCTACTGGGAATGTGCCCACAACCAAGGTACATACCGTATTTTTCGGACCATAAGACGCACTTTTTTTCCCCCAGAAGTGGGGGGAAAAAGTCCCTGTGTCTTATGGTCCAAATATAGCCTACACATATACTTTAAAAAAAAAAGTTTTTTTACTTGCCCGGCTCTGTGTGGTCTCTGTGTGCTTGCCCGGCTCTAAAATGGTTCTAAATGCTGCTGTTTACTTTACAGGGTTGATTACATGTGTTTATGACTGTGATGTTGGGTTTTAATGCACATAAAATATTTTAGGACACTATTTGTTTCAGAATCTTTTTTTCTTCATTTCCCTTCTCTAAAAACTGGTGCGTCTTATGGTCCGGAGCGTCTTATGGTCCGAAAAATACGGTACATGCCCCTGACCTGAATAGAACCTGGGACCCTTCAGTCTGCAGGCTGATGCTCAATCCACTGAACCAAACTGGTTTCGGCAGTTTTACAATCTTCAAATCAATGAGCTCTGAACCCAACAAGCCTGTCTATGATAAACCAAAGAGTTAACTTTCTAATGTTCTTTATCCGTTTTTACTTATTAGACATACATAGGCCAACTTTAATGCAAATGAAAACCAGTTTTAAAAAAATGATCTTGCTACCCGGCTGGTGTGGCTCAGTGGTTGAGTTGTAGACTTATGAAACAGGAGGTCATGGTTTGATTCCTGCTCAGGGCACATGCCCGGGGTTGTGGGCTTGATTCCCAGTGGGGAGTGTGCAGGAGGCAGACGATTGGTGATTATCTCATCATTGATGTTTCTATCTCTCCCTTTCTCTCTCAAATCAATAAGAATATATTAAAAATGATCTTGCAAAAGCACAGTTAGGCATCGAAGTCTAAATTTTTTTGCTTGAATAAAAGATTGATGCATTTGAATTAATCAAGGTTTATGATGGACATGAGGTTTCTGTCATTCCACAAAATGCAGATGAACTTTAGAAATGCCTTACAAGTCAGAGAATTTCACATGAAGTATAAGCACTGAAAATGGTAAAGATCGAATTTACTTCTAAACTATTTAATAAACTATTAAATAGTTCAAATAAACCATTTCTGGTTTATTATTCTGGAATAATACATTTGGCAGGAAGAAAAGAAAAATGGGAATGAAGTTGAAGCTAGGGATAATAAAATTGAACAAACTGTAGTTGACTACCTAGCATAAACCAGATGTTTCAATCTGAGATTTACTAAACTAGAAAGATTTAAAAAATAGTAAAACAGCTACTTGGCTATCTAAACAATGTATCTAAATACCAAATTAGATTATTTAAATGACATATACTGCTGGAATTCTTGGAAATAAATGTAGTTACTCATTACATCTATAAGTAAGTTTTAAAGCAGTGATGTGAAATGTGACCAATGTGTCACTCTTGAGCATGGGTATAATGAAGCCCTACATTCTCCTACAATCATTACCAGCAGTGTAAAGCCCCATGATACAAATTCTGATTTACCTAGTCAATAATATCAACAGTTTCTCACTTAAGCAACATTAAAGTGTTTGTTATTATTCAATCCATTTAAACATGTTCAAGAGAAAAAAAAATCAGAAATAAAGAGGGTAAGTCCCACACCTAAATAAGGTAAAAGATAAAATGAAAATAAGTATATGTAGCAAAAAAAACTACTATACTTTCAGGGAAAAACAAGAACAAAAAAGCCACTGAGTTTCCTCCAAATATGGAATCTAAATGAATGGACGAAGAAAAAAAAGAAAAAAAAGAAAAAAAAAAAGACAAAGCATAAAAATAAATCATGGAGGGCAGCAAAACTTCATTTGGTTAATGTTTTTAAAGTGCCAGAATTCACGGAGAACAAAATTTGAGGTTTTAAATTTAGAAACTCTTATCAAGTTCAAGTTCTTCCCTAGCAACTCTTTGATTTGTACTTGTTTTCACAAAATGAGATTCAATTGGCTACCATATTAGTGATATTAATATTTTATATTCTAGACTGTCACTCAGAAAAATCATTTTATGAAACTGTAAAAGTATATAAGTAAAGTCTATTTGCTCATCTGTAAAGTCAATTGGTTATTCTACAGCTACACAAATTTTGGTACTTACTAAATTATATATCTTTCACAAGGTAAGGTACAGATCTAATTGTTTAATAAATCACTGTATTGATTGCTTTGGGAAGCTTGGAAAGCTAAGGAGCCCAAGATTCAAGCCTAGAACTAGGAAAAATATATTTCTGTCCATCCCCAAAAGAAGTAAAACCATGCAATAGAGTGAAGATGGATCTCTAAGTCTCATTCCTATATGAGACTTTTCAAAAGTGCAACTCAATTTCTTATCTTTCTTTGGTGAGACCTAATCTTGCTACTCAAGAACATACTGAATTCCATAAAGTCATTCACTTTTAATAGCCACTGGACTGATGAATATTCATTATACTAAGTCTGCTTTAAGCATGGTGGGTATCAGTTGCACACAGCACACTTATTTTTAAATATAACTTGTTTTTAACAAAGCCTACTTTTGAGCAAATGTAATAAGCACTGATCAGGTGTAGGTTTCCTATACTGCATTCCATAGCACCTTATGGAATAATATATATCTCTACCCTCACAAGAAATGGACAAACCTATCTGCCTTTTCCTTTTTTTATTTAATGAAAAAGTATTTGCACCATTGTTCTTTTTCTTCATTTAAAAAAGCCTAGTCTATGTGCTCAGTGAAATGCCTGTCAGTTGTATTTCATTGGACAACTACACGCCATCACTCTTTAAAATATCAGTGTGCAGAAGCAGATGTGTGGAGCCAATGTGTCTGGATCAACAAAGCAGAGGTCTGGACACCCAGCCTCCCAAACGAAAATGCCACGAACTGATAGCACAGGAAGTAATGGAAGCCCTGGATCTGTGCAGATCTATCAGAGGAAAAAGCCATTTTCTTCCAGAACTGCCACCCAGGTATCAATGAACATATTAATCACTTCTAGAATCCTCCTGCTGCTAACTTTTATAATGGCTCTTAAAGGTTCTGAAAGATACTCTTCTGTGACTCAAAGCTTATAATATCCACCATAGAAACACTACAGGCCAATCTCAGATAAGTGCCTGGACCAATCTTAGGTTTCATTTTTCAGTTCTATGAAGAGGAACATAAATTTAAGCCCTCTTTTCTCCTATTGCTTAATGTAATACAAGATTCTAGTCAACAGAGACACATATACATCACTTTTAACATACATCAATTGCCTTAAGAACTATATTCTGTTAAGAATGAAGAGGTAAACAAGTGACACCACCTACAAGCAGTTCTGTGATGCAAGGTAAAGTGAAATGGGAAGGGAGGAGCAAGAAGAAAGGTCACACAACCCAACAACACAATCCCAATTCGTGTAGCACTGGGTCTGTTAATAGTGCTTACTTGCCCTAATTTTATAAAAATGAAATAAAAATCAGGAAAGGGTAAACTACCTGATTATTATTTTTTATACTCATTAATTTTTAAAAGTTAAAGTAAAAAATATATATATATATTTAAATGGAAAGTATATCAATTTCACTTTATTAACTTAACTGAGGAATGGGACGAGGAAAATGGGGTTGAGGTCAGGTATGAAGAAAGAGGGTTAGAACTTGCGATGGTAAAGATCCCTTCGGAATTCTGGTGCAGTCCTCAGTCACTGCGGCCTAATTGTCGGTCAGTAGAGTTGAAATCCAGAATACTGAAAGCAGATTCCTGGTCTCCATGTCTGTCAGTGACTCTTCAGTTACAGTGTGATGAGGTCCACCAGGTTGCCTTTAGGAGGAGTCATGCTGTCAGGAAAGAAATTTACTAAGGTGTCAAAGAGCTGAGTTCTTTGAGCATAGGTATGATCCACGTCCGAAAAGCCTGTGAAGGAGAGATACAAAGAAATTCACCCATTGTGTTTAAAACTCAACACGTAACAGAAAAGCCAGCTGAGAAAAGCAGCAATATATAATGGAAAAACCAAAACCAAAACAGGCTTTAAAACTAGAGCTATGGGTCCTGACCTCAGTTCTGACTAGCAGATAGCATTTTCAATGACTGATGTGAAAAGAACCTAGCCAAAAACCAGCACTTTAGTAACTAATAGTGATTTCTCTTCCTTTTCCTGCAAGCCTTTTCCTCTTCTAGTCCATTGAGGATTATTTCACTCCCTTTCTGACTTTTATTCATTTGTACTAGTATGTTTTCATGAATCCTTTCCTTGTTCAATGTTATATTCATTAGTATCATTTTAATACTCATGTGGTCCCAGATTTGGCCAGTGAGAACTCTTTCAAGCTCCTGTCTTTTTGAAATGTCCCTGTGAATTTCTGAGCACTTCCTTACTTTCTGGTAAATATCCAAGCTTATCTTTACAACACTCTGGAGTCAGCTAATTTTCCATGGAGCCCTAATTCCTTTTAGTTGTGAAGGTTATCTAGAAACCAGATCAGTTGTACTAATTACCAAGGATGTTATTGTTTCCAGGCATACCCACACACATACACACACACACATTACAGTATATACGTAGTGTATTTTTTCTTTAACAGAATCATGAGTTCCTGTTTTTATTGCTAATTCCAATTTTTTAAGAACCTCCATAGGATTCTTCCTTTATCCCATTCTATATTTATACCTCCTTTCTCCCACTAAGAAAACCAACTCTAGCAACATCATATTTACCCATTTGCTCAACCTAATACATGAAAAATGTTCTAGAATTCCTATACCCATACCACTCTCAGCAAAAACCTCAAGATTCTTTGCTTTTGTCTTTAGAGTATATCTGTGAGTGTATAGTCTAAACACTGTACTAAAAAGATTTAATGTCCTCCCCCTCGCTCCTACTAAATGGTAATGTTACTAATTTGATAGATAAGTTTCTTTGTTTCTCTTTGTATTCAATGTTAGAGTTTTCCATTGTTTCCTTTATTTGTGAAATGTTGTGGTCTTGATTCTATGACAGTACTCTAATGAAGTATTACCCTTTGCATGAGATCAAATGATTTAGGAGGTAAGAAACACTAAGTTCCTGCTGTGTGCTAGGTGCTTTCTGTATGACTGCATTGCACTGTCAGAAAAACAATGAAGCAGTTATTATAAACTCCCCTTTCAGATGGAAAAACGTAGAGAAATTCAGTAATTTAATAAGGTTCCACAGCTGGTATGGGAAGAGGATGGAATGTGAATCCATGTCTATCTGACTCCAAAGCCCATTTATTCTTATTAACCAACTAGAGGCCCAATGCTTGAAAATTCATGCAACAGTAAGCCTTCCTTCCCCCAGATGCCGGCACCAGCTTCCCTCTGGCACCCGGGACCCAGGCTGCTTCCCTCCTCCAGCTGCTGGCAGGCACCTGGGAGCCGGGCTGGCTTCCCTTGGGCCTGGCTTAATCAGGAAGGACGTCTGGAAGACATCCTGTCTAATTAGCATATTACCATTTTATTATTATAGAAGATTGAGTGCTTATTAAGTTTTAGGCAATGTGCTAAATTCATTTAATCCACAGAACATTTACTTTTTCACACTTTATCAATGAGAAAGTTGAAATTATACTTCATTAGATGAATGGTTAAATTATGGTAGACCTCTATTATGGAATATTATGTGTCACTAATAAGAATATAATAGAGAGCTAGTGCAGTTTCATGCAAACATCTCCAAGTGACATCATTACATTTTAAATTTACAATGCAAAATACATGTTTTTACATTATACAATTAATAAAGCCAGAACATCAAAACTATACATCTATGTGTGTGTACATGAATATATACAGTCAATTGTCATTACTCAGATTCATATTTGTGTGCCTGCCTACAATCCCACAATCAATACTGGTGGCACTTTGCAGAGATGCTCAGAGGAGCGAAAATTTGAGTTACCAGATGCACACATTCTCAGCTGAGGTCAAACTGGGTAATGCTCTGTCTTCTTATCATATTTCAACTCTTTAATACATTTAAATAATCTACTGGTGCCATGTTTTTTTTTTGTTTGTTTGTTTGTTTTTTGCATTTTGTGCTTTGTTTTGGGTGACATCACTGCTTACAATGGCCCCCAAGTGTAGTGTGAAGTGGTGTCTTGTGCTACTAAATGCAAGTAAGCCATGATGTGCCTTATGGGGAAAATTTGTTTGTTAAATAAATAAGCTTTGTTTAAAAATGGGTTATTAATACTGCTGGCTATGAGTTCAATGTTAATGAATCAACAATATAAACACATAAATAAGGTATCTTTCAATAAAAACACACATAAAGCAAGGTTATGCACTGCTAGGTCGACAAAAATGTTGTGAGCAGAGGCTTGCAGGAACCTGTGTATGTCCATAGGAGGAATGGTTCAGTATTTATTTACTCAGTGTTCCCAGGGACTTTACAGAATGTAACTTCTGCACTTAATGAGAATCAACTGTACCTTGATGTCTGTATATATGGTTGTGTGTGTTTGTATAAAGAGCTGTCCAGTATGAGTGATTACACCTGAGAAGTAGGGACAAAGATTGAGGAAAGTTGTTCAAGGAGAATCTTAAGCTTTTATCTGTATTCATTTTTTTTTTTAATACGTTTAAAAAGGGTGGGACATCAAGAAACTCATCAACAGTGACATAACTACTTACTAAATGTCAGAGACAGGACAAAAAAAGGTTGTATTGATTCTAAATCTCATGTCTCATCTAATCACTTTTTCTCACCACAGAATGAAATGAGAAACTGATCACTCAGAAGACTGAAAACTAGTAAAGCTCAATGAAAGGTGGTATAGTTAGTGGTTTAGGAAATGAGCTATGAACACATACTACTAAGGTTTGAATCCTGGTCTTCCCACTCACTAGCACTATTCCTGAACACGTTACCTGTGCCTCTTGTGTCCTAGTTTCTTTGAATATTAAAGGGATCATAAGAATAGCTGCTTCATAAGATTAAAATGGAAATTAAATGAATTTTGTCATGAAAAGTGCTTAGAATGGTATGTGGCCCCATAGAAAGTGCTCAGTAATACTATCTATCACTTTAGTCACTATTACCATGACTAAAGACAATGACTGCTCTAAAAAGAAAGTGACCTATTAGGAATACAGGCAGCCCTTGGGTTACATCGAACTCAACTTATGTTGTTTCAAGGTTACATCGCCATCTCTCATTTACAGTATTTGTTTTTAAAAAAAGTTCTGTCATTTCGACATATGAACATATGTGCTTCATGTTTTTATTATTTATTTACCACAAGTAAAGGTCAGAATTAACTTTCCTTTATATTTTTTTTTACTCTTCCACTTCATTACTGCTGTGTAAGTGCTTCATGTGAGTGACATAGGCAGGTTCCAACTTAAAAATCGAGTTACATCGCACCGTAGGAATGGATCTCTGACGTAAACCAAGGACTGCCTACATATTTTTAAGTTAACATCCTACAAAGACTAGGTAATCTTTCCTATTTATGGTGAAGTAATAGTAGCAAAAATTCTCATTTTTTTCCTGGATATAAATTTCTTTATTTATACTTCCTACTTCTAATAATAAATGTATCCTAATATATAAAAAGCCAGGGGCTGTCACAACCTAAATGACCAGATAGCAGGCTAGAGTGCTGGCCAGCACGGGGTGAGTCAGCCCTGGGTCCCGGCTGGCACGGCGGGAGTGAGTCTGGGTCCTGGCTGGCATGGCAGGAGTGAGTCTGGGTCCCGGCCAGTGCAGTGGGAGTGAGTCTGGGCCCCAGCTGCCCAAGGCGCAGCAGCAGGAGGGAACTTTGGGAATGGAGGCATGCTGCCATCGGACTGGCCTCTAGGTTCCTCCCCCTGTTCGTAGGCTCTGGGGAACCTGAGCCATGCTGCGACTGAACAGGCCTCTGGGGTTGTTGTGTCGCACCACCCCCCAACCTGCAGGCTCCGGGGAACCAGAGCATTGCTGCAATCTGTCTGGCCTCTGGGTGCCTTGCCCCTGGCATACAGGCTCAGGAGAACTAATGAACGCATAAATAACTGGTACAGGAAATCAATATTTCACTTTCTTTCTTGTTCCCACTCTATCTAAAAATCAATTTTAAAAAAACTTTGCATATATTGAATGGTAATTATAGGTTTTTTTTTTTTTAATGTATAGAGAATTAAAGTCATATTATAAAGAGCTGAGAAGGAGTGGATGGGCACTAAATATTAAGACTTAAATCCCTGAATATATATTTGGTATAACATTGAATCATCATGAAAATTTTATGTGATTGGCATTTTACAAGTAGTGCAGAGGAAAAGGCGCTGGGAAAAGAACAAAGTGGCGGTAGCCCCGAGCCAGAACAGGAAAAAGGAGCAGAAGGAGTTTCTACAGCGGGAACCTGAGTGGCTGGAGCTCATGAATGTGGAGCTGAAAACCAAGATGGAGGAGCGGCAGCAGCTCATCCTGATGCTCAGCCGGCATTGCCCCACCTGCATCGTCAGGACCAACAGTGTTAAGACCCTCAACTCAGAAGGCAACTCACTGCTGGAGCAGCTGGAGAAGAAGTGACCATAGGCTGGGAGGAGGAGGAGGAGATGAGAAGATGAAGGAGAAGAAGGAGGGTTCCATAGGACTCTTCCTTGCTGCATGAAAAACTTTTCAAAGAGGCTCAACACAGCCAGCATCGGCCAGACTTTTTTGCGAAACTCAGATCAGTCACACCAGGGGAAGAAACCCAAGCTGATGAAACCCAGGACCAAGCGCTGAGACCAAAGTAGTCTTGAGGATGGGCTGTTCTGCCTGGGATAGGCTTGCAGGAGGCAGAACAGAGGTTCTGGGCTGAAGAGATGCCCAATCAGGCAGCTGTGGGCACTTCTCCAGCTTCTCCAACAGGGCACCCACCCAAAGGACCTCCACGCAATGAGGAAAAGCCATGAGTTGCAACCAAAATTAGGCGGAGTAAAAAACTCAGAGTGAAATGCAATCTGCCTGCCCCCAACCCTGACCCTGCTCCTGGTGCAAGGCTGGAGGTGGTCACAGTGCCAGGCCCTGCTATACCCAACCACCGTGGTCCAGCACCCTCGCTGGCCTCCTGGAGTTGCTGTGGGCATGAGGCATGGGTGCCCTTCCAAAGCACATGAATGTTTACAGACTGAATGTTTACAGACTGGCTGTCCTGGCAGGGCTTTCAACTGTACGTGTTTTTTATACTTTCTTTTAAAAAAAATTTTTTTATAAAAATAAGATTTTATACAAGTAATATATAAGAGGATTTCTATAATCACTTGATGTGATAGTTTAAATATGCTATGGTTTGTTACAAACAGATATTCAGCAGTTATGGCCATTGTGTGTAACTTCTAAGTACTGTAGTCTCTGGATTTGGGGGTAGTAGGGCGGGGTGCAGTGCATTTCCATCTTGGTAAACCCTCATAGTACTCAGCTCTGTATCACTCAGTAAACATTACTCTTACTTAAAAAAAGGAAAGAGGGAGGCCCAGGCCACCAGCTGGCGACGCTATGGCAGGTGTGCGGGTAGCCAGCGATCATCCCACAGAGGGAGGCCCAGGCCAGCCAAGTCACACACCACGCCTGTCATAGAGGAAGGTGAACGGGGAGGGGGTCAGCACTGCACAGATGGCAAGCAGTGGCAGCAGCGAGGGTGTGGCCAGCTGTTTGCAGTCAGGGGAAGGAAAGCCCGAATAGGCCCTGATCTTAGGCCAGGCCTAGGGGACCCTACCCAAGGGGTTCTGGATTGTGAGAGGGTGCAGGCTGGGCTGAGAGACAACCCCTCTCTCCCCGAGTGCATGAATTTTTGTGCACCAGGCCTCTATTCTATATAAGCCTAAGCAACCATTATGGCAGAATGACTGGTCACTGTGATGTGCACTGACCACCAGGGGGCAGACGCTCAATGTAGGAGCTGTCCCCTCATGGTCAGTGCGCACCCACAGGAGGAGCGCAGTTCAGCCAGAAGCCAGGCTCATAGCTGGTGAGTACAGCGGTGGTGGCAGGAGCCTCAACTGCTTCCACTGCAGTGTGCTGAGTGGTAAGGAACAAGCAGGCAGCCGGTAAGGAGCGAGGGGTCCCAGACTGCGAGAGAGGGGTTTCAGACTGTGAGAGGGCGCAGGCTGGGCCAAGACACACACACACACACACACACACACACACACACACACACACACATGCAAGCACGCACGCAAGCTGGGTGGAGACACACACACACACACACACACACACACGTGCACAGATTTTGTGCACTGGGACTCTAGTTATTATATAACAAGCATCTGTAAACATGTGAGCTACAGACAAGAGGTTGAAGATAGTACCTTGCTGAAATCTAAATTTTGTGGGCTAAAAGGACATAGCAAATTCTGTGAAACTAATAAGGCACCTTACTGGCAAATGTTAGTGCCAAAAAGCACTATCTACTTACTGTATAAAATGTTTTAAATACTTATCTGAATTCATACTTATACATTATATTTGGACTGTAAAAGTTATAAAAAGAGGTATGAAGACCAAAAAGGCAATATGTTCTATAGACTAGATTTCTCCTATATGCCATATACATTGTTGAAAACACACTTAACTGATACAAAGCATACTTTCTGGAAAGAAGACATTGCTCTTAAAATTAGCAAAATGTCTGAGTTAAAGCTAAAAAGTGCCCACAGCCACCAGAACCTCTAAACTAAAGATCCCTAGAGGTTATTCTTCCCTGAAGTAATTTTTTAAAACTAAGATAATGGCAGCTACTTACTTATAAATCATTATCTTTCTAATTCTTTAAATTATATATATTGTAACATTAACAAATACTTTTTTTAATTCTAAGAAATTAAGATAAACTAGATTAATTCTGAAGGGAATCAGAAGTTAGGCTGAGGCAAATTTCTTCTTATAAGATTTAGGAAATAAAATATTTGGTTTATTTATCATTAAAGATATATATAAATAAATATGTGTGTGTGTATATATATATATATATATATATATATATATATATATATATAATCTATACATGAAATAACCCATTTGATTTCAATTCTCTGTGGAGTAAAAGCAAAACAATCAGACAGAAAATGAATGAGGACAAGAACCAGGAACTCTAAGTAGGCATGTAACCTATAAAAGATACTTTTGTTCATAAATTTTTATGCAAAGTATTTTTTGTCTTCAATATATCAGATTTCTCCTTATTAAAATTAGCATGCCATGTGAATTTGCTCCTCATTCAAATTCACAATGACACAAAGATTATACATATAAATAAAAAAATTTAAATATATTTTTATTGATATCAGAGAGAAAGGGAGAATGGGAGAGATAAAATTATCAATGATGAGACTCATTCACCAGCTGTCTCCTGTATGTCCCCTACTGATCAAGCCCACAACCTGGGCATGTGCCCTTACCAGGAATCAAACTGTTAGATCTTCAACCACTGAGCCACACTGCCCGGGCCAAAGATTATATTTTTAAGGAAGTTAATAACAGTACCCTAAATTGAGCACTTACGAAGTATTCTATTTTGCTGTTTTCTATAATTATTTCACTTAGTTCTCTCAACAACATTAAGGTAAGTACTCTCATTATCTCCATTTTATAGATGAATAAATTAATTATTAAGAGGATGACTTGATCAAGGTCACTTTTAAAATTAGCAAGTGACAGAGCTGATATCTAAACCTAGATTCTACCTCTGAACCACTATACTATGTTCTCATCTCTTATTTTTTAATTAGATTCTTAACTACTAAATTATATTGCCTCCCTTTAGACAAAGTAGGAAACAAAACTCCACAGGAATTTTCTTTTTGCATTTTTTCCATTGTATTTGTATTGTTCACAGAGCATTTGAGGTTTGTTTGAAATCCAAGTAAAACAAACTGTTCTGACTAAATATATTAGCTGGCAGTGAACAGGGCAGAGACAGAAAAAGGAGTTAAGCTAAAAGTAAAATATCTGCTGACAACAGCCTAACATCCTAATATATAAAAACCCTGGGTCCGTCACATCCACAATGACCAGGAGGATTGACCATTCACCAGGCTGAGCACGCAGAAGGCAAGAGGGCTGAACTGCTGAGCTCATGGAAAGAGAGAGAGGAGGGGCTGATCAGCAGTGGCAGCGGCTGCTAGCAAGGCACAGATAGAGAAACAGGTTGATCAGACCCTACTTCTCTCTCTCTGTTGCCAGCAGCAAACCCTCTCTCTCTTTCAAACTCTCCCCCCCTCCCCCCCCAGAGGTCAGCAGTTCAGCTGCTGATCAACCCTGCCTCTATGATCAGGACCAGAGATAGGCCCAGAGATGCTGACTGACATAGAAACTGACCAATCAGAACCAAATCTGGGTGAATTGCAAGGAGCCAATGGCTGCCTAGGAGGCAGAGCTTTTGATACTGACTGGCATAGAAACCGACCAATCAGAACCAAATTGGCCAGCAGAGGAGGGCAGTTGGGGGTAAGATAGGCCTGCAGGGGAGGGCAGTTGGGGGCAAGATCAGGCAGGCAGGAGAGGGAAGTAAGGGGTAATCAGGCAGGCAGAGATCTTTGAAAATTCACCTGACTTAAAGCTCTGGGTTCTGGAATTGTTACAAATTCCCCACTTTACTACCGTCTACTTTACTTTAATAACTCATTAATATTACATGAGAGTACTCTTAAATGAAGATGGATGTTTAAGATTCATCAGTCTTGGTTTCTTTAAGACATACTGAGTTTTGCCCTGGCCGGGTAGCTAAGTTGGTTAGAGCATAGTCCCGATACACTAAGGTTGCAGGTTCAATCCCTAGTTAGAGCAAATACAAGAATCAACCAATGAATGTATAAATAAGTGGAACGACAAATCGCTGTTTCTCTCTCCTTTTCTCTCACTCTAAAATAAATTTTTAAAAAAGAAACACTTGAGTTTCAAGTAGAATTTGTCTTGAACAATCAAGATGCCACCATACAAAAATTCCAATTTTCAGGAAAAAGATAATTTATTTTCTCTGCTCCCAAAAGATTTATTTCATTGTCTGTCCTATCACCATACCCCATCACCATTCTGTTGACACCACACACCACCACAAAAAACAAACTGAGAGGAAAAAATCGTTCAACTAACAAGTGTTATCTCATAGTAAGTACATCAATAACAGAATCTGTATTCCAAAACAATGCTATACAAATTAGTTTATTTTGATCATGCTTCAATTGTCACCTGTTTGCATAATAAGGAAGCAATTGGTGGAACAGGAAAAGCAAACTGATTTATGAACTGGTGACTTGATAATAACTTTGTAGTAAGTTATCAGAAATTTTGCATTCTACCTTGAAACTTGTTCCACTGCCTAGATGAACATTTCCTCTGATGTTTCATTTAAAAAAAAACCAACACCCAACTCCAACCTCCCAAATGCTAGGGTACCTGGGTGAATAAACTACATGGGAATACTTACCTAGAGCTGTAAAATCTGAACCAGATTTGAACAGAGCTGAAGCAAGGAGCTGAAACTATAAAAGAAAAATAAAAGCAAATTAGCAAAACACATCAAGAAAAATAATTTCTATAATTACTATGACTATTAATTAGCCACTGTATGCCTCTGCATTTAAGTCTATTTACCAAAAAGTGGCAAGAAGAACATCACATTTAGATAAAAGAATATGCTGACTTTTCTACTGGATTGCTCATTACTTTCCAAAATACTGAACCAAGTCCTGGAATTTGAAAATTTTATTAAGATACGTATTTATTAACAAATAACTGGTCAACTGAAATAAAATAGAAAATTACTTTCTCCCGTGTGAAATAGTCTATTACATATGGATAGATTGGTGTCCTGGACAACTATTAATTCTTAGTACATATACATTCTCATTTCAAAAATAAGTACATGCTAATTAAAACACTGCGGTGTAAATCAAACTCTGAGGAAAAGAAGCATGCTTATTATGCTCAGGCCATTCCTAAATTACAAGTTAGACTGGTATTCCATGCCCATGTACAATTACATTGTTATGAATTACAGCTGCAATACAAATAATATAAAATAAATAAGAATAAACTCTATGGTTCACATACTCACGACTGTAAACCTATTTTTGCCCACCCTATATACAGTTCTTTATATATGCTGGGTATCAATCGTCTGTCAGAGATATCTACTACAAATATTTAGTCTGGGGATTGCCCAGTTTTTAATAATGTTTTTGAGATTTTAATTTTGTTGAAGTCCATTTATCCAATTTTCTTTTATGATTAATGGCTTTATGTCATGTCCAAGAAATCTTTGATCTATCCCGAGGTTGTGAAGATAATCTATTTTCTTCTTGAAGTTTTATTATTATATATATATTATTAATTTCAGAGAGGAAGAGAGAGGGAGAGAGATAGAAACATCAATGATAAGAATCACTGACTGGCTGCCTCCTGCACGGCCCTCACTGGGCATCCAGCTCACAACCCAGGCATGTGTTCTTGACCAGAATCGAACCAAGAACCCTTCAGTCCACAGGCCAGCGCTCTAACCACTGAACCAAACTGGTGAAGACTCTTCATGAAAGTTTTATTGTTTGGGGTTTTATATTCCATCTTAATTTAAATTTTTATATAAAATATAAGATGGGGTTGAAATATCAGCACATCTGTTAAAAAGACTTTCCTTTTCCTAATGGATTTGGCACCCTGATAAAAAATAAATAAAAATCAATTCAATTGATGTGGGTCTATTTGTGTACTCTAGTCTGTTCTACTGATCTGTCTACCATAATATAGAGTTCTGAAATCAAGTAGTATGAGATCTCCAACATTGTGTTTTTTCCCCCAACATTGTTTTGGCTAGTGCAGGACCTTGTTGAATTTCCAAATAAATTTTAGAATTTGTTGATTTTAACAATGACAAAATCCAAACTTGCTGGCTGCAGGCTTGTTTATAGGGTCCACATTAAATTAAAAACCAATAGGGGGAGAATGAGCATCTTAACAATTTTTAGTCTTTCAACCCATAAAGGTGATATGTCTTTCCAGTTTAGGTCTTATTTAACTTCTTACAAAAGACTTATAACTACATGTTTAATTATTTTTGATATTAATATAAACAGGTTTTAAAATTTCCTCTTCTATAATAATTGTTCATTGCTAAGAAATATTAAATAATTGCTTTTCCCTCTATAGGCCTTGCATTCTGTAACCTTGCTAAATTCACTTAGTATATTGTTTTGCAGACTGCAAGGGCTTTTCTATGTACACAAAATATCACTACAAGTGCATACAATTTCACTTCTTCCTTTCTAATCTACATGCTGTTTATTTCTTTTTCTTGCATGGTAAAAGAGGATATCTATTGACACGTTTTTCATAGATGCCCTTTATGAGACTTAGAAAAGTTTTTATTTCTAGTGCTAAGAATTTTTATCATGAATTGGTTTTTAATTTTGTCAAGTACCCCTTTCTTGACTTATCAAGATGATCTATGGTTTTCTTCCTTTATTCTGTCAACGTGATGAATGGCTGACATTCAAATGTGAAACCAAACTGTGTCCTAGGATAAGCCCCTACTTGGTCATTGTGCATTAAACTTTTTTAATATATTGCTGGATTCAAATAGCTAAAATTTTATTAAGAATTTTGATTCTGTATTCACGAGAGGTATTGGTCTGTGATTTTCTTTACTTGTAATATCCTCGTTTGTTTTTTAATCCTCATTCAATGGAAGGAGAATGTGAGAGAAAAAGTGAAACATCATGTGAGAGAGATGTTCTAGCCACTGAACCACACTGGCCAGGGTTCTTTATTGTGTTTTTATATTAGAGTTAAACTGCTTCATTAAAGAATTTAGAAAGTATACTGTCTTCTTCTGGTCTCTGAGAGTCTGTGTGTAGAAATGTTTTTTTTTTTTTAATTTATATTGTTGATAGACTTGAACAATACAGCCAATGAGGTGCAGAGTTTTCATTATTAGTCAGTTTTCAATTACAAATTCAATCTCTATCTGCTTTGATAAGTTGTCTTTTAAGGAATCTGTCCATTTCATCAACTTGTTGACAAAGTTATTAACAACGTTCTCTATTACCTTTTAATGTGTAGGGTCTGTAATGATTTCCTCTTTTTATTTGTGATGTTGATAATTTGTTTTCACTTTTTTTTTCTGTCTTCCCAGGGGTTTACCTATTTTTATTCACCTTTTCAAAGAGCCAACCTTTCACCTTTAAATCTTTTCTATTATTTGTTCCTATTTCACTAATTTCCTATCTTCTTCTTATTTTGAGGGTTAATTCCCTTTTCTAACATCTAAGGTTTATTGGCTCTACATATGGAAGCATAGAGGGGAAGCCCTGGCATTTAAATAATGTTATTAAATTACGAGTCTAGGGTACCAAGTGATACGCAATCTGAGTAAATCCAGACCTGTCCTCCAAATTCAGACTTGAATATCTAACTACCACTTCAACATCTCAAGTTGACTGTTTCACAGACATTTCAAACTGTTAATTTTATTTTAATAAAATTATTAAATTCCCAATCTCAGTCAGGAGTCCCCACCCACCACCACAAACCAGATCTACCCAGTGCATTTTCATTTGGTAGATAATAACTCCATTCACTCAGATAAAAAAAACTTCGGAGTCATTTATTTCAAACCCTATGTTCAATCCATCATAAAATTGTTAATTCTATCTTTAAATATATTGAGAATCTGATCTACTTCACTTCTATTTCTATGACTACTACTTGAGTCTGAGCTACAATAATCACTTGCTTAAATTTCTACAATTTCCCCCATGAGTCTCTCTGTCAGAATCCTCAATACAATAAAGTGATCTAAAATATAGAGCAGATTATATCACTCCACTACACAATATTCTGAACTAGCTCTTTATTCATTCAGAGTAAAAACCAAAGTTCCAGCAATGGCTTACTAAATTATTCACAATCTCCAATCCCTGCTCTTAGCTCTCTGACCTCATCTCTAACCACTCAAGCCACAACCGCCTCCTTGCTGTTCTCCTCCACATGTGTCAAACACAAGGCCTGCGGGCCAAATCCGTCCCGTCAGGCCTTGCAATGTGGCCCGCACCGCGCTGTCATCACTGCACTCCGCTGCGTTTCCATCACAATGACAGTTTATGACTGTTCAGTAAACCATTCGGCCTGCGATTTAGGCTGGATTTTAGATTTTGGCCCCTTCTCTGATTGAGTTCGACACCCCTATAAGACCTAAACAAAGCCAGAATGCACTCAGCCTTAGGTTCTATTCCTCCCTTCACCAAATTATTTTCTTAGATCACTTCCTCATATCCTTCAAGTCTTTGTGAAAACCTCGTTTCTAAATGAGGTCTATTATAATCATCCTATTTAATACAGCAACTGCCCATTTCTTACCCCTTTGTATTCTGATCTCCCTTTACCTTTTTATTCCTCTTGTGCCTAGAAGAATGCCTGGCATACTGAAGGGACTCAACACACACCTGTTAAATTAATGACACCAGTACTCTGGAAGCTCAGCAGACTTTTTTTTTTTTTTTTTTTTTTTTTTTTTTTTTTTTTAATAATGTGCAATACTAGTTAAAACTTGCTTTTCTTTTGTTTTTTCTTTCTCTATTATAGAATCCTCTGAATGATGGAATTGATTTACACATCATCTTCTTGGGTCTTTCCTTGGGGGCAGGGATGTAATTTTCATGTTTACTAGAAGCTTATCACTAATTTAGAGCCCATATTCTGGAGACTGGACAAAAGCAAAGAACCATTATTTGGTATATAATGGTAGCCCACCACTATTTCCCCAATAACATGATGATCACCCCTCCAAAAGAAAATTCTAAAAACCACTTTTAGTTGCTGTGTAAAAATTTATAAACTATACATAGAGAACAAAAATAAACTACTACATACAGAAAGCACTGGATAGCATTAAGGCCTTTCTTGATAAATGGAATGATTTCTTAAAAGGAAAATGTAGATATATATAGCTTACTAAAAATCTGTAAGTGTATATACTGGAACATCAAGAGATTTCTTTCTCCAAAACAAAATCCATTCACACATTAAAAAAAAATCGTCCTCGCTGGTTTGGCTCAGTGGATAGAACGTCAGCCTATGAACCGAAGGGTCCCGGGTTAGATTCTGGTCAAGGATACATGCCTGCGTTGTGGGCTCTATCCCCAGTGAGGGGCGTGCAGAAAGCAGCTGATCAGTGGTTCTCTCTCATCAGAGATGTTTCTATCTCTCCCTCTTCTTTCCTCTCTGAAATCAGTAAAAATAAAAAAATAATAATCTTACAAAAATCAATGTCAGGATGTTCTTGGATTTCTGTTACATAGGATCAGACAGAGGAGTAATCTTAGGGTAAGGGTATTGTTTTGAAAAAGTTTCTGAAGTGATTCGAATGCTGAACACACATGCACAACATCATTTTAACTAACTTCTACTAGGGCTAAACAACTTTTTAAAAAAATATATTTTATTGATTTTTTTATAGAGAGGAAGGGAGAGAGATAGAGAGCTAGAAACGTCGATGAGAGAGAAACATCGACCAGCTGCCTCTTGCACACTCCCTACCCGGGATGTGCCCGCAACCAATGTACATGCCCCTGACTGGAATCAAACCTGGAACTTTTCAGTCCGCAGACCGACGCTCTAATACTGAGCCAAACTGGTTTCAGCCTAAACAACTCTTGATAGATAAAACTTTTAAGAAATAGAATGGAAGTCTGTGTCATACAAAATCATAATTTGAGACTATTAAAGGAGACAGAGTGAAATCCACTACCAAATTTTTAAAAATTGCTCTGTTTGAATCTGAGATAACTCCCTGTCCTGGTTTTCCCAAGAGCTTAGCATTAAGAACAAACTGTCTGTTTTCTTTGGCCTACTTGCAGCTGAAATTATTTGCTTGGCAATATTTTGTTTTGGTTTGCTTTTTAAAAACTTAGAGAAAAATTAATGTTTCCATATTTTAGCCATTTTAAACTATGGAGAAAACATAGTATCATGAATTGACTGAAGACTCAAAGAAAGACAATTAATTGTCTTCCTTTGAGAAGAACCCCCTAAAGTGTGTACTGATGATTCTCCATCAAGTGAAGAATTGTAGCCAATACTGAGTAAGAGAAATAGGAATTATTTTCACAGTAGGCAACTATGAAAGAGTATGTCTTTGTTTTGTTGCCAAGGACAGACAGGCTCTACTGCTTAAAAGTACAATGAACCTGGTACCGGAAAGTGATTCGATATTAAATCTGAAACCTATGCTGAATAGAGAAAAGCAATGCTTGATGTTGTTACAAAGCCAAAGCAAAGCATCAGCTAACAGGGAAACAGCTGTAAGGGATAGAACTACATATAATTAGTACCAATTCTGTGAGTGAAGATGAAATGGATGTTTCTAGATGAACTATGAATAAAGACAGTCATCAAAAGAAAAATATGACAAAAAGAATCTCAGAAGTTAGTAGGAAAACAGGCTATAAAACCATGAAACTTGTTGCAGGTATATTCATAAAAATAATATTAGATCTTTCACTTCCATCCATGTTAGATTACACAAAAAAAAACACCCCAAAACAAACAAACAAACAAACAAAAACCCTAAAAAGCAATGATCTGCTACTCATTACCACTGACAAGTGAAGTTAGTAGTTACAGTCAAACTATCCTGATACAACATGTGCTTAACTATCAAGGCAGGAAGGATTCTACTCCCATTAACCTCTTTTCACCTTCTCCCTACAGAAAAGGGGAGTTTTCTTTCTTTAAGCAGTTTTTGTAGTATCAACAGAAAAGTTCATAATGAACCATTATAAAATCCCTGAGTAAAAAAAGCATGGGGCAATGGGAGTAAAATTTCTATTTTCTTCCCAATACATAAAACTAGTATCTATATTAAAACTTTATACCTAACAATCACGTTCTAAATGGATCAAGGGTTTTGTGCATGACTTGAATGTTACATCACATGAAAATAAGCCTATTTAATTTTTATTTCATCTGCTGTCATTTTTAATATTAGAACCAAAATAGTTTCCTTTAAACATCTAAGAGCAAAATCAGCAAATATAAGTTGGAAAAACTTTTCTTTAAAGCTCAATTTCTAAAGTTTATTACCACCTTTACCTCTTTTGTCTCTTCTGGGTCTGAATGATCCACAGTTATATAAAGATCATTTTGTAAATATTTCAGAGCACTAAGAGGATCCATTTGGGCCTTTTCTTCAAACCTAGAAAATATAAAAAAGAATAATAACTGTCTGGAGTTTTAAGAAAACATTAGGAATGTCTTTCAGTGCTGGGACACTGTATATGAGGAGTTATGTGGATATCTAAAACCCCTGCATTTGGGAAATGAGACTTCCACATAGACAGTGCAGACGTGGAGTCCCTGAGATGTAATGGGACAGGTGGGCACAGGCAGCTGTGCTCCTAGAGACTGTCTGTGTGAGAGCACTTCCACCCTCCTCTCAAAACTATAAGCTAAGATAAAATCAACTCTAAAATATAGTAAATATCTCAAATAGTTTACATAAACTGGGGGGGAAAAGCCAAGTAGGTTTCATAAAAAACAAGTAGAGATAAAATAAAAATTATTAGATTTGTGTAATATCCTTCCAACCCCCACCACTCCCCCTGGCCCCCCCAAATGGAGGTGCTTAACAGGTACTTTACAAATGAGTAATTTATTTTAATGAAGTATCATTCACCTGGGTTAGATCATTTTAATGAAATTATTTCCATGCCTTAGTAATAACAATACCAACAAACTGCAACTTATCAAGCCTTTGTCATGTGCTAAACACTGTATTAAGCATATATCATCTTGTTTATCCTCACAATAATATATATATATAAAAGCCTAAGCAACCGGTCGACCGGCCAGTAGCTGTGATGCGCACTGACCACTAGGGGGCACACACTCAATGCAGGAGCTGCTGAGCAACAGCAACTTTGCAGAGTGCCCTCTTGCACTCTGGACCCAACTGGGGCTGTTGGAATGCTGATTTCGTCCCAATCCCCGCAGGCCAGGCTGAGGGACCCCACCCACCAGAGGGACTCTGCTCACTCTGCAGATGCCCTTCAAGTCCTGGTGCTGTCCCAGGTGCAGCCGGCAGGGGAGGGATGGTGGGAGGTTGATTCCAGGGTGTGTCTGGCTTGTCTAACCTAATCCCACCCCTCTGACCACCTTCTAATTAAATTCCTTTCAATATGCACGAATTCATGCACAAGTCCTCTAGTAACTCTATAATGACAATAAGTATTATCATCATTAAAAACAAAACAAAACACAAATAGATGAGAAACTGAGACCTGAGAATGAATTTGGCCAAGATAAGAGGTAGTAAGTGGCAGAAGCAGAATCTAACACAGGACTATCTGATTCCAAGGTTGAAAACTTTTTGGGACTATCTATTTATGAATTATATTTCAGCCAACAATACTGCCCTGTAAAAGGAACAGGAATTAACCCTATTAAATTTCTTTTCTTTTGCCCCTTTCTATGCCCCAATTTATAAACAATTTTGGAAACTTGAACATTATACATATATATAAACTGTACTTTATTTGCTATATTACATGGTATCATTAAATAAGATAATGTCCTTTTGTTATAGCACAACTATATATGGATTTATTTATAATAAATTTGTATACTTTTCAAATGTTTGGAGAGAAAGAAAAGAAGACATTTAATTTCATTTGGAAAATGAAAATAAGCTATTCACAATGGTGTTCAGACTGATGGCTTCAATAATTTCCTGTCATTTGAGCTAACCTCAGTGATAGGGTTACCTGTATTTCAGGCAGGGGCAAAAACTATCAATATAGTACAGTACTCTCATACCAGACAATACCATGACTGTCAGCCAGCCTTACGAACCTCAGAGCAGAGTTCCTTACCCAAATATCATGTTACTCTACCATCTTGCCCACAAGTTAGACAAGAATTTTGGCGCCTGAGCCAAAAGCAATCATCTCAAGCTTAATGAGCAGTTTAAAAAGTGGCCTGGCAGAATGAATTATTCCCAATAGGGATACTCTCTCTAGGGAACCCTCTCTAAGAAGATAACTCTCGCTCAGAGAATCAGAATGTGAGATACACAAAATACTTTATAAAAGGCAGACAAAACACAAAAGGTAGTTAACAGAAGACATAATAGATTCCTTCCCTCCCTCTCTCCCCCTTTCCTTTCTCCCTCCTTATCTATAATACCTACTTATCAACTGAAGCCAAAGAGGCGAATAGTTATCTATCTATCTATCTATCTATCTATCTATCTATCATCTAATCTATCCATCCATCCATCCATCCATCCATCCATCCATCCATCCATCCATCCATCCATCCATCCATCCAACTATAATATCTATTGAAGCCAGGAGGTTGAGGGAAAGCAGAATCAGCAGTAATCAGTAGAACAGAAGCAGGGAGAAAGAAGCAGAAAGAGGCTCAGTTATGAGAAACACTACTTTACTTAGCTGCTAGCTACTATTGTAGAATTGGTCCAGTATCCTAAACAATTCTCCATATGCCTCAGTGTTCAAATGCTAAGAAACTGCCTTAATTCTCATAATAAATTCTCTTTCAGTGAATTTATTTTAAGCATGTCTTTCTCCTTTGCAACCTGAAATAACCTAACCAAAACACACCTACCATCCTATTAAATCCAGTAAAGAGATCAATTTTCCTGGAAGTTATGTTTTCTCTCGTCCTTTTCCAAGCTTTTATTTAGCTTGCAAAAATTTATCACTGGATTTGTGTTTGCAGGCTAGAATTATATTTCAGCCAACAATTCTGTCCTGTAAAAGGAACAGGAATTAATCCTATTAAATTTATTTTCTTTTGCCCCTTTCTATGCCCCAATTCATAAACAATTTTGGAAACTTGAACATTATATACATAAACTGTACTTTATTTGCTATATTACATGGTATCATTAAGAACCAGGAGACACTTTCTTGGCATACAATAAACTTCTCTCCCTCCAAATTTATATTTTATTGAAAAAGAAAAATAGTTATTTCCCAAAAGAACAACAAAAATAAATAAGGCAACACAGCAGTACAGGGTAAACTTTTATATAATGAAAGATCTGGTATCTAATTTGAGATTTGAATTAAAAGGTAATTTTCATGTTCAACTCAGAAATCAACTTCTATCTATTCTGTCCCCAAGGTAATAAGCCCCTCAAAACTATAAGTCATTTTAAAAGGTGGTAGAAAAAAAAGAGTGTTTTTCTCAAATGTCTAATTTGGGTCTTTTATTGTCAGTTCAATTTAGTAGACAAAATTTTTAAGGTGCCCTAGCAGTCATCCTTAACTATTCTTTTTCTCATACTCATATCCAATTCATCAAAAAATTCAGTTGTTGCAACCTTCAAAGTTTATCCGGAATCTTACTGTACTTTCTGGATCTCTTTTATGGAGTATCCTTTCCTCTGCCTTCCCTCAAACAGTGGTGATCCTCAGATAATGCCCTAACATCCCTCTACTTTTCTCACTCTTCCAGAGCAAGCTCCTTTTCCTTACTGATGACTCACTCATGTAATACAGCCAACACCTTTCCCCCAAATGCTAACAACAGATGATCTCCAGAACTTAAAGTGCACAAACTGAACTACATTAACTTGCTGTTTCTGAAGAATTCCCCCCAAGTGAAAATAGCCATGACCTTTTACCCAGTTCTTCTGGAAGAAAATCCAGAATTGTTTTAAATAAAAGCTAAATCTGAATGTGTCATTCCTCAACGTAAAACCTTTCAATGCTACTCTTTTACTAAGAGTAAAAGACAAAGGACCTTCACAATCCAATCCAACACCCCCCCCTTTTTTTTTTAATCTCTCTTGTCTCCTACCATAATCACTTCTCTTACTCCACTTCTACCACACCGTTCTCCTCAATTTATTTCTCAAATAATCCAGGCATATTTTTAACCTCAGAGCCTTGTCTATAACCTATCTGGAACACTTTCCCTCTCAAATATCTATATGATCCACTCTCATCTTCTTTAGGTCTCTACTCAAATGTCTTCTTTGCAGTGAGGTCAACCTAATATTCTTATTTAAAAATTACATCCCCAGCTCCCTCACCAGTACAAAAATAGTTCTTAACCTGATTGAGTTTTTTTTCATTAAGACTTACTATCTAACATATAAATTCCTTATTAAGCTTATTGTTAACCTCTTTCATTAAGAAGAAAACTTGAGGATAAAAATTTTTATATTCTTCACTGACATATCCACAGAACCTAAGACAATATCTAGCACAGTGAAGTTGTTCAATAAATATTTCTTATATGAATAGTTTTACTGATGTTTATAAAAACCCTTAGATGGTTGCTTTCACCATTTTACACATGAGCAAAGTAATCTCCAGAAAGATTAAATTAGAAAGCTTGAATATCAATCCAAGATCCAGGTATAATGTTTTTCCAATATAGCTATTAGCTATATTGGAACTAGAGGCAAATAGTAATCAAGATCAGAAGAGTACTATGGTCCATATTTTTATGCTATTATTACTCTACTGAAAATAACATATAAATGAATAATCTATATAAAATACTCTTATATTCCCCTTAAGAACTTTTTTGAAGTTCTGAAATAAGCTGGCACACTTTCTTTCCCATAGTAGAAATTTCCAATGTTGCCCAACCACACAAACTTACTGCCTTTCAATTTCAGTCATTTTATTTAATGACTTAGTTTCGTACAACATTTGTAAGACTCTTTCATCATATATTTAAGAGTCTAAGTGATTTGTTACTGATTATTCTTTTATTTTTTCATCCACTTTCACTTCTCACTCTACAACTTTACTAGAATTAAGTTACTAGCAATGATGATTGTACTTAAAACTTAAAGCATGCCCTAATACATAATATTTCAGATTCCAAAACTGTCATTTCACATGCCCACTGATATATTTCTAAAGGAGAAAAACAACTTCCAAAGATAAAAAATAATACTTTTGAGGATGGCTGGGCTGTGGGAAGGATGGCAAATGATAATTTCCCAATTCTACCACCATCCTACAGAAATTTTAGATAGAGGTGCATATAGACATATATAATATTAACAATAATATAATTTAACTACAGTAATATTAACTATAGCAAATAAATTGAGAATATTCTATAAAAGGAGGTGAAATGAATTACATAAAGTAGAATGTTATGCAGCCATAACAATTATGATTTGTACTTATATTTATTAACATGGTAATGTTTATAATACATCATTCACTGAAAGAAATCAGATTCAAAACAAGTGTGTACACATAGTTAGAAGGATATACACTAAAATATTACTCCTGAATGGAGGGATAATAAGTGATTCAATTTTTTTGGTAGGGAGAGAAGACTCATTTTCTTCTTTATTATTACCCATGCAATACTTTTACAATTAAAAGCCAGAGGAAGGTATCTGTGAGTTCCAATTCTTTACATGCAGCATTAAACAATTTCCTTTAATCTCTAATGAATTTTTGGTCAGGAAATTTTTTTTAAAAAGCTCACTCTAACATTCCAATGACCAGTTGTTATATTTAGGTAGAAAAAGAGCTCTATAATTTCCCCATATCCTTATAAAAACAAAGTTTAATATTAAGTATCTAGGTACATTAAGTAAAGTACTAAAGAATAAAATTTAGCAATGTAAACATTAGCAAAGGTACCTCAAGCTTAAATCTTGTTAATAAAACAGAATTTATTCTTGCCATCCAGACAATGTGAAGATTCAGACCCTTTCTCCTGTAGATTCTATAGAAAATATACTAATTATTCACAGTAATGCCAAAGAAACAGAACTAGCTTCTGTTATTAATTTATCTTTCAAGTATAACTTGTGAAAAGCAACAATAAGTAAATATATGATAAAGGAATAATCTAATTTATATCTACACAGATTTTCATGTATTTATCAATATATTTTATATAAAACATATTATATAATAAACATATGTGTGTATACACACTAGTATGAGCCTCTATACGTGTGAGTGGTGGTGGTGGTGGTGATGAAATGGAGAATTCTGGAATCAGAATACTCAGGATCAAATTATATCTGTCACTTATGGTTGAGTGACCTTAGATGAGTTATATAACCCATTTAAAAGTTTTCCCATTATTTCTTTTTTTTATAAAAAAGTGATAGTAACAGTTCTTCCTCCATTGGCTATTGTGAGAATAACATACAAGATCTAGCACACAAAAATTGTTCAATAAATGATAGCTATTATCGTCATTAAAGGTTAACTTCTCCTTCCAAACTATAAATATTTATCATCTAACACTATCAGTAACCAAAAGGACAGATATACTTTTCTACATTTTTTTTAGTAGCTTAACACCTGCTGGGTCTTTTTAAAAAGCAAACATGACTCAAGAGACATACATAAAAATGTTTAATTACATGACTTTACAATTAATTAGCGAAGGTAATGACATAAAACTAATTCTATTTAAAGTTGTATCCTGAAACATCAAATTATAAACATATTAATAAACTATATCATCACATTCACAGTTAACATATGCCTGACTTATCAACAAGTCAGGTATATGTCAATAATCTAGAACTGATGTAATTTGTAGTAGTTAGGCCTTAAGTTACTTGATGTTGTTTATCACCTTCACAGAAACTTTTTCCATTCTTTTAACAGTTGCAGAATTTCCTTGCTCTATATTTTAAAAGTTTAGCATCAATATTTATTTTCACTTTTTGTCTTGCTTTGAAAGAAGAAATCAAAATTAGAATAACAGGGCACCTACAAAAGCCATGACCTTCAGTGTTGTTTATATTTTTATGTTACTAACTTTCCAAAGTCAAAGGCACATCTCCAAAGCTTAGGCAATAATAACAATAGCTGACAAAGTTAAATAAAAGTTTTCCGTGAATTATTTTTATACCTGTGTTTTCTTATGAGGTACTTGCAATGCCTCAGTAAGTAATCTTTTGAAGGCCTACACAACTTCAGTGACCAGAAGTCATCTAATCTCATTTTTGGGGAGCAAGATTTTCCTGGATTCCCACCAAATAAATAATGAACCTGTAATAAACAAAACAAACCAGACTTTTAAAAAGATGTGCATACTTAAGAAACTATATTAAGTGAGAGTAAAACTTCTTCATTTTGCTAGTAGTGTGTAACTGATACCTTTCTTAGCCTTACTAATATTAAAAAAAATCAAAATATTATTGCTTCTCTTGATTTTTCTCTAGTTTCCACTTTACTTTTTAAATTACTATGACTACTTCCTAAATTACATTTCATATTAAAATAAATCCTGTTACCACAATTACACTGACAATGGAAACATGAAACAAAAGCAATGATAGTGTAAAAATTAATAAAGAAAACCTCAACTAAAACTGAAGTTGGGATAGACTATAGAAGTCAATTACCTATCACTGGAAGTCCAATACCTCCATATTGGAAGACATCAACTACAGACCCCAACAAGAGGAGAGGCCCTTTCATTCCCAAATAGAACGTGCAACTGCTTTACCACCTCAGCAGGAAGAAGGAAGATTTTCTTTTTGTTCAGTAAGAAGCCCAGCCAACTGAAACTCCACGGCTCACCTAGTGAGAAGCCAGCGTCACCTGAACTCTTTACTTTCCTCCATGAACTTTCATTTCTCTCTTACTGATGACTTACTTGCCTCAACCTCTTTTCTATAAAAGACTTCCATCTTAAAAAGTTTTTTTTTTAGCCCTAACCAGTTTGGCTCAGTGAATAGACCATTGGCCTGTAGACTCAAGGGTCCCAGGTTCGATTCCGGTCAAGGGCATGTACCTTGTTTACAGGCACATCCCCAGTAGACTTTCTCTCCCTATCCCTTCCTCTCTGTAAAAAAAAATCAATTAAAAAAAATTTTAAAGGCTTTTTAAAAATGATTTTAAAGATAGGAAGGATGGGGAAGGGGGAGAGAGAGAGAGAAAGAGAGAGAGATATTGATGTGAGAAATATCAATCAGTTGCCTTCCTAACATGCCCTATAACCTGACCAGGGATTGAACCCATCACCTTTTGGTGAGCCAGATGATGCTCCAAACCAACTGTACAACCAACTGTGCCACACTGACCAGGGCAAGACTTAATCCCTCAGAAAATTTCTCTGCTTGCTAGATAAGATGCTGCTGAATTCATAAATGGCTTAATACCCAAATTTGCTCAGTTATACTTTGTTTATTAACAATAGCAAGAAGCTAATCCAATGTATAGTTTGAGGGCAATGAATAATGGAGATTATCAAATTAATCAAGTGTTGATTATAATAAATTATATCTTTAAAAAGGACAGATGACAATCTGGCCGGTGTGCTTTAGTTGGTTGAACATCATCCCAAGCATCAAGAGATCGTTGGTTGGCTTCGAGGTTAGGGCACATGCCCTGGTTTTGGGCTCGATCCTCAGTAGGGAGTGTACAGGAGACAGTCAATCAATGTTACTCTCTCCCTCTCCCTCTTCTCTCTCTAAAATTAATAAAAAGACTTATTTTTAAAAACTGTTAAAAAAAAAGATGTCAAATCACTGAAAGTCAACAGCAATTAGAAACTTTTTTAAAAAAAATTTTAGCATCTTAATTTAGCTTTAGCCTTAAGGTCAAATATTAAATGGCACATATAATTTGTGAAATAACTTTTAAAATATTCCATTACTCAATTAAATTACTCAAAAGAAATGTAAAGTTAGGATACCTTGTGTAACTCATCATATACAAGCTGATGGGCAAATCTTGGACAGGGTTCTTCTTCTTGAAGACTTTTACTTGGATTATCCTTTGCAGCTTGATCATTTTTATAGACACAAGACCTGCAAAGACATTGCTTTTAAGGCATGCTATCCTATAAAATTAGCAATACACATAATCCTATATAATAAAGAGGTAAAATGCAACCTCAAGATTGCTGCCTATGACCAGGCTGGCAGAGGGATTAGTGAGGGACAATCAAAGGACTGAACAAGCAAGCTGTGTAGGGTGACCAGGCCAGCAGGGGGATTAGTGAGGGACGACCAAACAACTGAACAGCAGGCTGCATGGGATGAACAGGCTGGCGGGGGGGGGGGGGGGGGGGGGGGCGGGTGGTGGCGGCAGTCGGGGGCACCCAGGTCAGCAGGGGGCCAGTTGGGGTAATCAGTCCAGCAGGGGATGGAGAAAGCATTTGGGGGCGACCAGGTGAGGAGAATGCAGTGGAGGGCAACCAGGCCAGTAGGGGCAGGGGCAGGGGCAGTTGGGGACAATCAGGCTTGCAAGGGGAGCAGTTAGGGGTGACCAGGCTGGAGGGGAGTGCAGTTGGGGGCAAGCAGGCTGGCAGGGGCGGGCATTTGGGGGCAATCAGGCCAGCAGGGAGGCCAGTAAGGGTGACCAGGCTGGAGAGGAGGCAGTTAGGAGCAACCAGGCCAGCAGGAAGAGGGCAGTTGGGGGTGACCAGGCAGGAAGGCAGATGAGCGATTAGGAGCCAGCAATTCAGGATTGTGAGAGTGATGTCCAACTGCTGGTTTAAACGGCAGTCAGACATCCCCCAAAGGGTCCTGAATTGGAGAGTGCAGGCTGGGTTGAGGGAAAACCCCCATGCATGAAATTCATGCACTGGGCCTCTAACCCTATATAAAAGCCTAATATGCAAATCTGGGAAACTGGTCACTATGATGCACACTGACCATCAGGGGGCAAACGCTCAATGCAGGAACTGCCCCCTGGTGGGCAGTGTGCTCCCATAGCAGGAGTACCACTCAGCCAGAAGCCCTGAGCTAGGCTCACAGCTGGAATGCGCAGCAGTAGTGGCAGAAGCCTCTCCCACCTCTGTGCAGTGCTAAGGATATCTGACTGCCAGCTTAGCCCCACTCTCTGGCTTAGGGCCTAAGACCTCAGTCAGACATCCCCTGAGGGCTCCTGGAGTATGAGGGCACAGGCCTGGCTAAGGGACCCCTCCCCCCGAGTGCACAAATTTTGTGCACCAGGCCTCTAGTGTTAATACAATTGTAGATAGCAAATTAATTGCATGTCTAATTACCAACAAGACAATTATAAACTTGGCCCTTGTACAGCCTATATTCTAGAGTGGAGAGAAAGCAATAAAATCTTACATCAAATCTTAAAGTTCTCGTCATTCCCATAAAATAATATGATTTGTTAGAACTGAGTTCTTAAGTTCTTTTAATGTCCATCAAAACCTCACTTAAGAACAATCTACCTCATGTTATGAAACACAAACAGCCTTTATAAAGGTTGAAAGAGCTAAAAATCTGTTTATCTATTCACAATAAAACTACAGTACAGCCAAACTGGTTTGGATCAGTGGATAGAGCATCGGCCTGCGGACTGAATGGTTCCGGGTTCGATTCCGGTCAAGGGCATGTACCTTGGTTGCAGGCACATCCCCAGTAGGGGTTGTGCAAGAGGCAGCTGATCGATGATTCTCTCTCATCGATGTTTCTGACTCTCTGTCCCTCTCTCTTCCTCTCTGTAAAAAATCAATAAAATATATTAAAAAAAAAAAAACAAACACAAAAAAAACCCCTACAGTACACTTTCATTTTTATGGTAAATAAATGTCGTATTTCGAAAATAATAAATTCTTTAGTTGTTGAGCACTACACTCCATTACTGAATGGAAGTTCTCTTAAGTGCCCTGTTTTGACATCATAAATTAACACAAGTCCTCCAGTTCCCTCTTCTTTTGAATATACAACCTCAAGAAATGTTAAATTGGAATTGTAGTACAGACAAGAGATCCTTACCAACTATTCCTCACTATGTCATAAATCCAGAATGAATTTCTAACATTCTCTTCCCTCTTTTCCTTGTCCTTGCTGAGTCCAGATAAGACATGTATTTCATTCAGTTCTGGATCAATGGTTGCTCTCTGTGTGAATCCTGTCATTGGAACTATAAAATGAAAGAAAACAGTAAGATGACAATGTTCACAGTGTTTCATTAGATAACAGATAAGTGCTATTATGTTAAAGATTAATACATCCTTACCCTACAGAGTAGGGTAAGATCACAACTTACTTTTTGACACACTACATAACTTTTATATTAAACAATAAACAGCCCTGGCCAATGGCTCTCTTGGTTGTAGCACAGTTTAGACCAAAAGGTTGCATTTTGATTCCAGGTCAGGGCACATATCCAGGATGGAGGTTCTATCCCATGGGGCATGGTTAGAGCAGGTACCAGAGGCAACCAATTGATATTTCTCTCTCACACTGATGTTACTCTCTCTTTAAAATAAAAAAATACAAACATATCATCAGGTAAAGGAAAAAAAGGTAAATATAAACAAATAATGGTATATTGCTTTCTCTTCACTCTAAGGGCCAAAGTTATTTGGTTCATGATTTTGTTCCTAATGACTGGCATACGATAGTTTTCAACTATTTGTTGACAGAATCAATAAATAATAACTACCAAAATGGAGCTAAAAAAGAGATAGAAGGTATGCAATGTAATCATTTTGATTGAGAAAAAGGGCAATATTTGAACTGATTTATTATCTGGGTCAGCTCTAATTTAATAATAGAGATAAAAATATTCAAATCTTGACCTGGAAAAACAAACTTTGACAAAACTGGAATAGATTTGTTTAATATGGTCAGAAGCATTTAAAATATTTGTCATGGTGTAATATGAAATAACATAATTTCTAAGAAAAATAATGTTGGTGTATGATATGCTCCAAATATATTTTCCATGGTAGATCAAACTTCCTAGAGTTAAGGTTTTATTTTTTTTAAGAAATCCATTAAATGAATGATGGTCATTCTGCATTACCTAGAAATTTGTAAAATGTTGATATGGCAAATGTAAATTGTTCTTATCAATGTTATTTGGAAACTAGTAGCCCTGCACACAAATCCATACACCAGTAGCTCACCAGTAGCTTTCTGCCCACTGCCCCACCCTCCAATAGCTCCCTCTCCCCCCTCATACCTTGCTGCCCTGCCCCCTCCTGTAGTTCTCCGCTGCCCACTTATAGCTCGCTGCCCCACCCTCCTGCTGACCCGTGATCTGGTTGTTAGGCAGTCAGTCATTACACGGTTGGTCGTTACGCTTCATGGCGTAACAACCATTTGCATATTACATCTTTATTATATAGGATATTAGTTGAAATATAATTTTATATTAAACATAATTGCCATGTATCTAAAACAATGTATTGTTTCAACACTGCTTTCTTTCTTTTTTTGTTTTGTTAATCTTCACCAAAGGACATTTTCCCATTGATTTTCAGAGAGTGAAATGGCAGGGAGAGAGAGAGAGGAAGAAAGAGAGAAACATCAATGTGAGAAACACACATATATTGGTTGCCTCCCTCACACACCCTGAGGGGACCCAGAATTGAACCTGCAACCTAGGTATATACCCTTGACTGGAATAAAACTCATGACCCTCTGGTGCTCAGTCGATGGTCTAACTACTGAGTCACGCCAGCCAGGGCAACACTACATTTCTTATAGATAAACAATTATCATATGCTCAGATAGCTAAACAAATATCAAACTAAAGAAAAATATCTCAATCAATTCAGAATAGGAGATGCTAGCCATACTGTATTTATTTTTTCCTAGTTTACCTTAAATTCATATGTCCTCTTACATTGCTATTCAATAAAATTGAAATATTTTAGAGACCATCTAAATGTATTCCACAGTAAGTGTATTTAAAGATTATACACACAAAACACAATAATTTGTATACATCCATACATCTATACACAAGTACATTTATGTGTGTGTATATATATATATATATATATATATATATATATATATATATATTCATTCAAGCACAGACCTAATCTTAACAAAAACCTAGACCCTCATGGCATATTCCTTAATGTTTATGTAAACTCTGATATTTTCTTAATAAGGCTTGGAAAACTTTCAAAAGTGCCAAAATTTTGACCTCTATTCCTAAAATAACATTGGAAAAAAGATAAAACTTAAAAAAAATCACTTTATAAAAATATACATATTTTTATTGATTTCAGAGAGGTAGAAGGAGAGAGAGATACATCAATGATGAGAGAATCTCTGTCTGCCTGCCTCCTGCACACCCCCTACTGGGGATGAGCCTGCAATCAGGCATGTGCCCTCACCAAGAATAGAACTGTGACCTCCTGATTTAACCTGAGACAACTGGGCAGGTGACAATGAAAACTTTTTATTAGTGGTGGAAGTGGAGGACATAACTGCCTAAATTTATTACACTTAAACTTCTTTGTCCCATTTTATCTTAATACTGAGCCTTAAAATTAAGAAATCTATAATATGGATTGGCAAACTACGGCTTGATCTGATAAGGGTCAAATGAGACCTCATCAATTCACTTACATTATATTTCTGGCTATTTTCATCCTATAGTAACAAGGCTGAGTAGCTGCAACAGAACATCTATGGCTGGTAAAACTCAAAATACAGTTTGGGTGTCCCCAAAAATATATACACACTTTAACAGCTGATAACTCAATTTTCACTCCTTTTCAGGTTTAACTGATTTAAAATAATGGGTAAAGCCAGACTAGGCTCTGAACAAAGAAAATTATCCTAAAAATACACTAGACTTTTCTTCTATGGGGATACATAAAAGATATATAGTACAAAGCTGAAAGTCAATGAATTGGGGGCACACAAATACCAAAGGAAATGATTCTTGATGTTTGTAATTCCATTGCTTTGTGCTATCTCCAGTGCCTGGACCAGGACGGTCATCAGTTCTAAAACAGGTATTAACAAAAAAATTAACCCATTTCTATAGATTCTTTTAAAATTTGAAAATGAACTGTATGTTACTAAGTACTGACTATATAATCATTCAAAGTATGTACACATTTTTGGGGGGGCACGCCTTACATCTGGTTTATTATAGAAATAGTTTGTTGACCCTTGTTCTATAATCTTTTAAAATGCAAATATCAGATTATGAGTTAGAAACTAATACAGCAAACTGCTAACTTTAAATAAGGACCCACTGAGGAAATAGAAATTTTTGAGTGGAATGTAAATCAGTGGAGAAAGATACTTTGAATTCTCTAAGTGGGGGTGGAGTCATCGAAGAGATGGGATTAAAATAATATTGGGCTAGGGAAGAAATGTAAGAGCGTGGAAGAATGTAAGACCAAGTTGTACATGCTCCCGTTTTTCCCCCCATATGATCATTTTGCCTAAAAACACCTTAGTATGAGAAGAGAAAAACAACAAAGGCCGTTTAAGCAGTGGGCAGGTTTACAATATCAGGGAGGTTGGGACTACCATGTTTATAGAGATACATTCACCCATTTAAAGTGTACAGCTTGGTACTTTTTAGTATACCCATTGGAAAACCATCATTACAATCTAATTTTAGAATATTTTAATTACTCCAAAAAGAAACCCTATACCCATTAACAGTCACTCCCTACTCCCCCTTCCCAACTCCTCATGGAGTAGGCTGCATCATTTGACATGACCGACAATTTAAAAAGGTTCTAATTTCTCCACATCATCATTTGCTGTTGTCCACCTTTTTCACTACATCTTAGTGGATATAGAGTGATATCTTATTGTGGTTTCGATTTGCATTTGAATGATTAATGATGTTAGATATCTCTTCATGTGATGACATGGCGCCAATGCATATCATAGCGTGGTTATCAGCCATTTGTATATCTTCTTCGGAGAAATATCTAGTTAAATCCTTTGCCTATTTTTTAAAAGTGTGTTGTTTCTTAGGACCGGTTTGGCTCAGTGGATAGAGCGTCGGCCTGGGAACTGAAAGGTCCCGGGTTCGATTCCGGTCAAGGGCATGTACCTTGGTTGCGGGCGCATCCCCAGTAGGGGGTGTGCAAGAGGCAGCTGATCGGTGATTCTCTCTCATCGATGTTTCTAACTCTCTATCCCTCTCTCTTCCTCTCTGTGAAAAATCAATAAAAGTGTGTTGTTTCTTTATTATTGAACTAGGGGCCTAGTGCACGAATTCCTGCACCAGTGGGGTCCTTCAGTGTGGCCTGCGGGGATTGGGCCCAAACTAGCGGTCCAACACCACCTGCCACTCTTGCTCATTCCAGCCCCAGCTCAGCTGTGCCTGCTACAGGGTCATCAGTAATTCATCCCCAGTGCAGTGGGGTGGGGGTGGGGATCTCCTCAGCCCAGCCTGCATATCCCTCTCACAATCCTGGACCACTGGCTCCTAATCGCTCATCTGCCTGCCTACCTGGTCACCCCTAACTGCCCCCCCCCCCTGGCAGCCTGACTGCCCCTCACTGCTCCCCTACTGGCCAGGTTGTTCCCAACTGCCCCCTCCCTGCTGGCCTGGTCGTCCCTTACTGCCTCCTTACTGCCTCCCCTGCTAGCCTAATTGCCCCCAACTGCCCCCCTGCTGGCCTGGTCATTCTCAACTGCACCCCCCTCATCAGCCTGGTCACCCCTAACCTTGCCCCCGCCTGCCAGCCTGGTCACCCCATGCAGCCTGCTTGTTCAGTCATTCAGTTGTCCCTCACTAACCATCCTGGTCTTAGACAGCCATCTTGTGAGGTTGTGATGGTCAATTTGCATATCACCTCTTTATTACATAGGATAGATTTTAAGAGTTCTTTATATACTCTGGATACAAGTCCCTTATCACATTTATAATTAGCAGAATTACCCCTCCCCCATTCTAGGGATTGTCTTTATACTTTCTTGATGGTATCCTTTGAAGCACAAAAGTTTCTCATTTTTATAAAGTCCAATTTATCTCTTCTACTTTTGTCATTGTGCTGTAGTACTGATTTTGTGCTAGCTAGTTAGATGACATAACAACTCATCATAATATGTATGCTAAGCACCTAAATCAAGACACTGTTTTTCAAAGCAAAAAATGAAAAATTGCAGACAACTGAGGATATTAAACCACTGGGTTCAATA